AAAGAATTCCTAGAGTTTTTTTGTTTTTCACCTCCTAACCTCCTCAGATTAACCCCTTAACAAAACATGAAACATATACCAGTAATTTTGAATTCTCTAAGACCATGTCTAATTGAAAGCCCATGCTAAGACTAACTTACTACATGGAAAAGCATATAGGTAGTAAGCTAGCACCCAAAAATGTATTAGTTCGTGAACAAATTGAAATTACTTGTTTCTTATGTATTTTTATGTGATACTTCAGAAAATGTTTGTCTGACGTGCCGTATCCGGGGCGAAAGTTGTCAAATTGGCGTTTTTGACCCTAAAATGGAAAATTACAGGGGGTACTTTATCATCACTTGATAAATCATTCTGTTAGTCTTCAATCATCATAATAATTTTATGGGGAGTTGATTGGATCATGCTGAGGTAGTATGTAAAATTCCAATGCTCTGTCACTCATGGTTGTCATGGAAACCACAATTTTCGTTCAAAATATCCTTAATTTTGCAAAACCTGAACATGTGCATCATGTAGAATATGGATTATTTTTCGAATCAATACATATCAGCACATTTTAGCACACTCAAAATAACCAGTACAGTTCAAACATTTGTTTAAATATAAAGGATATTGCAATTTACATGATTGGTCAGTGTCAAAGAACATACAATTACATGAGTGATCAAAAGTGGGCGTCGCCCCCATAATAGTAGATGATTGCTATACTCTATAAAACAGAGTTTAACTTGACTTTTGAGATATATTTTATATCAAGCATTTCTGGTAAATAATGTACATCTAAGTGTCATAGTTATTGCATGGGGGGGGGGACAGAGGGGGGCTAGTAAAAGAATTGGGAGGAGGCAGAGCTAATCAGCCTTAAGTATAAATCTCATCTACATATATCTGGATTTCATGGGGTACATTTTCTGCATGGGTCTTCTTCATATTCATCTCAGTATATGGGATATTACAACTTACATGATTGGTCAGTGTCAAAGAACATACAATTACACAAGTAATCAAAAGTGGGCGTCGCCCCCATACTAGAGTAGATGATTGCTATTCTCTATAAAAACAGAGTTAAACTTGACTTGACTTACATTTACATTGGACTTCTTTGATTATACTTTATATTTTCTGGTAAATAATGTACAACTCAGTGCAATGGTTATTGCATGAGGAGGGGTGAGGTCTAGTAACAGAATTGGGAGGGGGCAGAGTTACAGCTGTAATCAGCTTTAGGAATAAATTCTTTCTTTTGGACTTCTTCATAGAGTATTTTCTGGGTCTTCTTAGTTATCTCAATATACTGTATATAGTTATTGTATGGGAGGGGGGTATATAGTAACAGAATTCGGAGGGGTGGGGGGAACAAGTCAGTCTTTGATTGTTTTATGGGGTCTAAACTTCTATTTCAATTGGTTTAAATGTGGTTTTGCTGGTGTAAGACATTGTGGCTTAACATAAATGTTTTTTTATTATATTAATCAGTCTTCTTTTGTCTGTCCAGCACTACACTTTGCTCTATTCTGTGCTTATCCTTACACATTGATTGAAGGACTTATAAATGAAAGATATGTAGTCTTTAAAATGCACATGAGAGATGGATTGAAAATGTGTTTATTCCTTGTGACAATATTACTCTCTGGGCCCATATGGGCCCTAAGGAAATATCATACTAAATTTCATGGATTCTCTGATGGGTTGTTTTGTTTCTGGAGCTGGCGGAAAATACATGTTTTTCAAGATACTCCTAACAGCAGAGTGATTATGTGATAATTAAATCCAAAATTCTATAAACGAACCTGATAGAAGAAGTGGGTGGTGGCACATCACCTTATCAAATGTAGAAATACATGAGTCCCTTAAGATTGGAAAGAGTTCATGAATAAGGATGCAAACAAGAAACAACTATACCAGTTACACTTAATTGAATAAGACCAGAATATGCCAAGAAAAAATCTACTGTGTAACAGGTGGGAAATGCCATATCCTTTCTAGTGATCATCATGATAAACCATGAAATTTTATTTCTTCCCAGCCCTTCAGGTGAGACAGAAAGATGCTATGAGTATCAGAATGTCTAGTCATGGCAATAAAATAACAACTATAGATGAGCCTTCTCATAGTCTGATCATTTTCATTCTTGTGATTTATCGCATGATATTGATATATCAACAATCTCTCAAGAGAAAATACCACTAAACACTTGCAGATTTGAGAGTCATTCAGCTGGGACTCAATATGGTGCTCCATCTTTTTAAAATGTGCTATCCTGCCCCTTCAAAGCCTGGCACTTACTTCATCTAGCGAAGGTATGAAGGCTGCATATATTATGCCAGGCCCTAGATGGGAGTAATAACAGAATAATTGGGAGGGAGTAGAGCTCCCTCCTAGGTCTGAAACCACTTCCCCACCCTCACCTCATGTAAAAACTATACTACTAAACATATTTATGAGAAATGATAAATTATATTTGAACATGACTGTATTCACGCCTTCTATAGACTGTGAACCATGTCAACATTTTACCCGGGGTATATATGTCAACACTACCCTTGGTAATACGAGTAATGTGTGACATCAAGAGGGCTGTAGTAATGGCAGACCATAAGTTGAATATTCGAAAAAATTTGGGGAGTTTTCATGATTGAATTGTAATATATACCTCAGAGCAGGTGTGATATTGACAATGACCCCTTAGGGCTAGGTACAAAAGCTTTCGAACCCCTCACTCCCTTGCATAGCCATGTGGAGTGTATTTGTCAATATAACACCTGCTATTCAGTCTATATTTCTTAAATAATAGAAGTATAGATGACGTATAGATGAGAATGATCTTCCAAGCATTAAAGCAAGTAGTAGCAGTAAGTAGCAAGTAAAGCAGTACCCACCTGAGATTTTGAAAATAGGTTTGCACCCACCTGAAAATCCATATGCACCCACTTGAAAGTCAGAAAAATCATGAAAAATTGGCATTTGACCAATTTTGGTCTAAATTGTAAAAATGAAAATTTTGTACCAACCTAAGAAGAAATCCTGGGGAGATCACTGGATGATCTTAAAACTCAAGTTGACCTCTGTTTGTAGAGAATGAACCATATACTGTTGTTGAAGAGATTCCCACTTTTGATCACTTATGTAATTGTTTGGTCTTGGATACTTACCTATCATGTTTATTGTAATATCCTATATATTGAGATGAATATGAAGAAGACCTAGAATATGTACATGTTCCTTAGTAAATCCAGAACGAAGTATTATGAGCCCCCTTCCAGTTTCTATTACTAGCCCCCCCCCCCTCTCTTAACCTGCCTCTCATGCAATAACTATAAAACTCAGATGTCACTGGTCAGTAACGAGCGATGGTATATGCCATATAAGCCTGGTTTAGTTCAAATATCAAAGTATTACATCGTCTATAAAGTAGTTTAAGTCAATGAAAACTATAAATATCTTCTCAACTGACACCAGTGAGATGTACATTATTTACCTGAAATGGTTGATATTAAGTATAATCAAAGTATAAATGATAAATATATATATATCTTGAAAATTCTACTTAAACCCTGTATTTATAGAGAATGGAAATCATCTACTATTATGAAGGTGATGATGCCTTCTTTTGATCACTTATGTAATGGTATGGTCTTTGACACCAATCATGTAAAATGTAGTACCTATATATTGAAATGAAAATGAAGAAGACCCAGAAGATGTAACCTTTGAATATCCAGAACTATATAAATGAGAATTATACTAAGGCTGATTAGCTCTGCCCCCTCCAAATTCTGTTACGACCAGCCCCCCCCCCCCCCCCCCCCCCCTACGCTCCCCATGCAACAACTTTTACACTTATATGTACATTATTTACCAGAAATGCATGGTATTAAGTATATTCAAAGAACTTCAATATAAATGTATCTCAAAAGTCAAGTTAAACTCTGTCTTTTCAGAGAATGGTAATCATTTACTATTATGGGGGCGACGCCCACTTTTGATCACTTATGTAGTAGTATGGTCTTTGACACTTACCAATTATATAAACTGCAATATCCTTTATGCTTAAACAAATGCTTGAACTTCCCTGGCCATTTTGGGTGTGCTAAAATATTCTTATATCTGTTGATTTGAAAAATAATCCTCATTCTATATTATGTACCTGTACAGGTTTGGCCAAAATTAAGGATTTTTCAATGAGAATTGTGGTTTCCATGGAAACCATGAGTGACAGGTGATTGAACCTTAACATACTACCTCAGCATGATCCAATCAACTCCCCATAAAATTCTTATGATGATTGAAGACCAACTGAAGGATTTATTCAATGATGATAAAGTACCCCCTGTAATTTTCCATTTTAGGGTCAAAAACGCCAATTTGACAACTTTCGCCCCGGATACGGCACGTCAGACAAACATTTTCTGAAGTATCACATAAAAATACATAAGAAACAAGTAATTTCAATTTGTTCACGAACTAATACATTTTTGGGTGCTAGCTTACTACCTAATAATTGTATTGAACCACTTATACTTATATGTACAGAACATGTATATTCTTTATTTTTTGGTTTCAGTATAATGTTCACACTGTTCTTATAAATAGACAATACCAGATCAAATGTCATTCAAACAATCCTAATGAAAAGATTACCAATATTTGGAAACAACTAAATGTTACATTTTGGATTTCATTGATATCCTGTCATAGTCCTAAATTGTATTTTGCTGGAACATTTTATTTAAACAAATGTCCCTGACATTTCCCTGACATATCTAGTTTCAAAATTCCCTGACATTTTTTACCCTTTTTGCCCCAATTTTAAAATTCCCTGACATTTCCAGAACCTAGAAAAATAAATCAATTTCCCTGACATTTCCAGGTGTGTATGAGCCCTGACACAATTACACCCATTCAGAATTTCACTTTTTGAAATTGGAGAAAAGTGGAAATGATATCATTCCTAGAACAATAGGGTGACTGATTTCTCCTGGGCTGTTACAATGTACCTGTTCCAGCTTCTGAAGCAGGTTTGTTAATATATGTTTGGCTGTGTCTGTCTCCTGTCTTGCCCAATACAGTCTTGCTTCCTCTAATCGCCATGACCACACAACACCTAACTCCTCCCTCTCTGTCTCTCTCAGTAGTGCCATACAGCGTTCCCCAACCTTATAAGGCAACAAACATGATTATATAGTTTGGCAGCATGTAAGCCTCCAGAAAACTTTGTCATAACTTATTCTATTATACCTTTCTCATTTAAACTGACCTCTCGATAAAAAACAATCGTGGGTTGTTCTGGTGTTCCTGGAGATATTTTGAGCTAAAATGAGAGGATATACGCTGATGAACAATTGGGGCAAAGATTTTGTACAAATACTCATGATAAAGGCGTCATTATCACGATTGCTCCTTCCATTGCTTCAATATTCAATTAATTTTTCATTTTTTTGTTGTGCCTCATATTCTGCACTGGAAATACCATTATTAACAATGTAATTCTATATATATTTAATATACTGTACATATTTAATATGTTCACCCAAAACACACTACCCGGTAACCGGACAATTCATCCCCTAGACAACTCATCCCTGGACAACACATCACCTAGACAAATCATCCCCTGGACAACTCATCCCCTAGACAATTCATCCCCTGGACAACTCATCCCCTAGAAAATTCATCCCCTGGACAACTCATCCTTTGGCATGTTTGAGTAATTTATGTAATATTATTAATTCATATATTATTCAAATGATTTTTAAATGTATTGGTTATCATGATCAGTTTTAGGTTTCAAGATCATTACATGACCTCCACTCGATTATGTTGTAAACAGATTGTTTCGGTAACAAAATGTCAGAGCCTCAAAGGTAAGATTTTTGTATTTTCCTTATTTCTCCAGTAGTAGGCAGAATATCATATGTCTAAGAAAATGTACATGTGTACATGCAAACAAATAGTTCAGAAGACAACACAATCCTCGATTTAATACCTCACTTTTGTTACAGAACTTCAAAAATGGTTAAGATCTGCACTTCTTACTCTTTCCATTTACATAACAAAAGTGAGGTATTAAAGCTACGATTCTGTTGTCTTCTGAGTACAAGTGAACAAAGACAATCTGGAAAGTTGTTTAAAAACTGTGATATACCATGGTACTACTATGGTATTGTCAAGGTGATAATCAACCAATTAATCTGTAATTTGTTTTTTAAATATTTACCTTTAATTTTACTTTTAATATACAATTTCAATATTATGTTAACATTGACTGAAGAAGCTGCGTTGATGTCATAAGCTCCTTTGATGTCATAATATGTTTGTTGTTCAATGTTCAAATATTCTTTAATCCAAAGATTATTTTTTCACAGCAGTCACAGACGAAGTTACTAAAATTCATGTTACAAAATTATGCAGAGAGAAAACTTTATTTTTTGTCATGAAATATTAAGTCGTGTAACATAAGGACAAGAGATGAACGTTTTAATGGCACGTTTGACTGTTTGACCATTTTATTTGTGTCAATAAAGTGAAAAATAATATTTAGAATGATTCAAGATGTATTTAATTTTTTGTTACAATATCAATGTCAAAGAAGTAACATATTTAAAGTGAAACTTACACGCTCCCTGTACTTTAATAGATTTACTAAAATGTATCTTGTATTGCTTTCAAGTTTTACTTCACTGCACCCACTATTCTCTATCTGCCTATATGTTTCTTTGCCAACAATAATCTACAAACTGCTTGATGAATCTATTTTATGTCTGGTAGAATTAGAACTCTATAAATAAATGTAAAATGTTCAGAAATATGGAAATAAACCCATGTCCTCCATTTGCAACTTAACTGTACCCTGTTTCCCTTTTAAATGTGGTCACGTGGTAGGGTAGTATGAATAGTATGGACCCTCTTTATTACAGATACCCAGCCATCTCCCACAAAGTGAGCCTCATACACACATGCATGTAGCAAACGAGTGAGAAAACAATGCCAGTAGTTTACCTGAAGTCTTGATGCCTGTCTAGCAAAGCAGGCCTGTTTCTCCAGGTGCTCCATGAGGCCTTTGTACAGTGTAACATCTCTTGGCCTCTGTTGGTGGCATACCCTTAGCAGCACAGACCTTGTGATCATAACCTAAACAGGACATTACATGTTGTTCACATTTTTAAATGGAAAACGGGTTAACTTTTGGATGACTGTGCAGTACTGATGTATGTGTGTTAATTATTTATGAGCAGTGTACCTCTTCCAAGAACTCATAATCATTCATAAGACATATGTCCTGTTGTTTCCACTGTTGCAGAAGTTGATTAGTCCCCAGTACATTGAAAAGTGCTTCTCCAGTGTGTTGTGTTTCATTGACACTTTGCAGTGTGGCCAGAGATGAGTACAGACAGCGTGCACTCTCCATACTGCCTTGTCCCAATGCACAGATGGCGCTGTGTCTGAAAAATAACAGCATACTGACACTTTCCATACTTAAAACAGACAAAAAGATGGATGGATGGGCACATGTAATATGTTCAAGTGACAACCCTTTATGTATTAAAATAACACATTTTGTTTTCAAGCAACTGACCTAGTCATATCAATTGCAGTGTGGAACCTTGATTGGTCTTTATCCAGAATGGCACACAGACTGCTATACATGCCTTCATTGAAACCACACTTCTCATCTAATCTGAAATAAAAGTAGTTAATGTAATATATATATCTCTCAGCAGTCTGCCAATTACTCACCATATTGGAGTCTTCTGATGAATATATACTGTACATGTACAGTCTTCAGGCCCGTAGCCAGGGGGGGTTCGCAGGGTTCGGGTGAACCCCCTCCCCCTGGCCAAAAATTCTTTCAAAAGCATGCAGTTTTTCACCATTTTGAGCACTTTTCTTGTGATTTTAGCCATATTTGGGCCAAAATTGTCAAATGTGAACCCCCCCCCTAGAAATTTTTGAAAACTGAACCCCCCCTTGGCAAATCCTGGCTACGGGCCTGGTCTTGTAGATGTAATCAGTGCAACCATTTTATATTTTTTACATACATGTATAAGAATATTTTTTCTAATGTCTCCATAACGTTTATGCAACTTTGATTACTTATATTTCACCAACCTGCTTGGTGTATCTAGGGTCCAGTTACAGTTTTTCCATGAAGTCTCATACTGGAAGTGTTGTATTTCTGGAGTCTGATCAAGTCCTTGGAACACCAGACCTTGTAGGTACGTTTCTAGCACATGGGACACACCAAACTTCTGCAGGGACTTAAACAAACAAGTGTGGCTCATTATTTCATGCAAGTGCATACATGTATTAAGTTAAAACATCTAGCTTAAAGATCTCATTAGCCTTTGGGCATGATGGGTAACTAACAAGTAATAAAAAAGGCATCTGTATCCTGTAGTAAACAAGACAACAGCAACACCAATATTATAGTTGCTCCAATACTTTTCCAGTCATAGTAAAAACATAGAATTACACATTCTTTAAAATTAGTCAAATTTTCATCAGACAGTGTAATATTCTTTTGAGTATTCACATATAAAATTTCAAAAAAATGCTACACTAATTTTTCAGTTCGAGTAGAAAAAATAGAACAATTTATTCCATAGATAGCATGATATTCATAGGATAACATGTCAAAATAAAAAAAACGGTATTTTTGTAAACAGTGGTAAAATATGATATTTTTGACAAATTTTCACTTAACCATAGCATACGGTGTTTAATGACATATGGCGCCGTTTGCTATGAATTATGGATTTTTGCTACTTCAGACTCAAAACGAGGCTAAGTGTCAACATCGCCGGATCATTTGGAAAATTCGAATTAAATCACTTAATTTCCGACGATTCTGATGATGACTTTAACTATGGAATAAAAAGAACATCCTATGATTTACTCGTGATATGATTTTAATCCACTCATGGATATTGATATGTACACTCTCTCGCTACACTCACTCTTGCAGATATCATATCCATTCGTGGATAAAAATCTTATCACTCATAAATCATAGGATATCCTCTATTTACACAATCAAAACTTCAAATATCATATTTGAAATCTACATGTAAAATTGCATCTAGAAATGTGGTTTCAAAAATTGTTTAACAACTTTGAAAATTTAATTTTCTTGGAAAATGTGACTTCTAGGTATCACCAAAATCACCAAAAGTGAAATATATTTTCTTTTACTGGAGATTTTTCAATTTGTATAACTATCAGATACGTAAGGGTAAAATGGAAATTGACCCAATAGAACTGAAGAATATAGATGTTTAAGGGAACTTTCTAATATATCTGCCATATTAACTCACACAAATTAGCCACCTGGTGGTGAAACTGGTAACTACCTACTGGCATTTTGGTTATTGCTATTCACTAGCAAAATTCTCATAAGAGAATGTCATATGCTTCCAGATTTTCACATATCAAATTTCGACAAAATCGCTCCACTACTTTTCCAGTTAAAGTAAAATAACACACATAAAAGTGGCAGCCATTTTTGGAAGATAGCCAAATCCTCATAAAGATTGCTACATGTATATTCACATATCTAATTTAGATAAAATCTCTCCACTACTTTTAAAAAAACTTTTTTTGCATTTAAAACCTACATGTACATGTATTGATGTTACAGTTTTACTTGTAGCTAAAATAATGTAACTCAAATGAAACCAGCAGCCATTTTCAAAACTGGCTTTCAAAAAGAGCTTCTATTCACATGAGGCATGTACAAACTAGAACTATAGAAAAACAGCAACTCCACAGAGAATCAAATTCCATCAATAACAAAAAAGGTTTTGATGAATTGTGGCCATCTTGAAAATTCTTTCTTGAACAGAGGTTCTATGTTCGAAGGCATCTGTTTGAACCAAATCCATTCACTGATATTCGAGGTATCAAAGATTATGTTTTTTTATGAAAAAAGCAGCCATTTGAACTAAAGCTGCCACACTGAAAATTTGTTCTTGAGCAGAGCTCCTTTGTCCCTCAGCAATGTGAAATAACAAGCTATGATATTGGTTAACACGCCAGAAATGAACATAATATTATTTACGTTGACCTCAGGTCACCTTCGTTGTCAAGGGTCACAGCACAGACCAAGTCTTAAAAAGGCAAATAGCTAGATATTGACCTTTTACCTTGAAATGACCTAGACCTCTGACCTCGTAGAATTCCCACCAACCCACTTAACATGAGGGCTCAAGGTCAAATGGTCTACCAAATGTCAGCTTGCTTTATACTTAAAAGAAGAGATTATAAATTCTACCCATATTAATGGGGTTCTATTAATTGAGGTTCCTCAGGCTTTTGGACGAGCTTTGGTGGGTTCAACATTTTGTTTCATGGAAACACTCCACTTGTTATGTTATGTTATGTTATATTTATTTTCATATTATAATTATTACAATTTGAATAACAAGGTTTGCACAAGACGCTGGGCGTATACTGTGTAGTTTACACCACATTACATTGTAGTGTATATATAGCAAGAGCACATTCTTTGATGATAAGGATCACTAGGTTAGCAATGAAACATGAACAAAATGAACCATGACATGATATTTGATATTAGATGTAGGTGGGGAGGAGAAGTGATTTCAAAGACGATTTAAACAAAGATAAAGTAGAAGACATAATGATGTTTTCATTTACTCCATTCCAAACTCTTGATAGTTCTACTTTTATTGACTTTTCACCAACTTTGTTTTTAAACATATATGAACGTATACGGTCTTTATTTCTAGTTTCATGGTCATGTGTATCAGCATTTGTGGAATAGAATTGATTAACAAGAACACAAATGTGTACAATATGTCCCCACCAATGGGTGATCCCATGAAATGGTTATCCTGAAAATGAGTAGACAAGACTTTACTGACACAATTTGAGGACGGAAAGTCCAAAATGGCCGCCTTAAAATTTACCCAGAATCCCCAAAAATTAGCTAGTTCTAGATTTTCATACTAAGAACCACCCCTGAAAATTTGAAATTGATCCGTCAAACAGTTAAACAAGACTTTACAGACAAGATTTTAGGATGGAAAATCCAAAATGGCTGCCTTGACATTTACCCAGAATGTCAAAAAACTAATCAGTTCTAGATTTTCATACTAAGAATCATCCCTGAAAATTTGAAATTGATCTACCAAACGGTTCACCTGAAAATGCGTAGACAAGACTTTACAGACAAGATTTTAGGACAGAAAATCCAAAATGGCTGCCTTGACATTTACCCAGAATGCCAAAAAACTAATCAGATCTAGGTTTTCATACTAAGAATCATCCCTGAAAATTTGAAATTGATCTAACAAACGGTTCGCCTGGAAATGCGTAGACAAGACTTTACAGACAAGATTTTAGGACGGAAAATCCAAAATGGCTGCCTTGACATTTACCCAGAACGCCAAAAAAACTAATCAGATCTAGATTTTCATACTAAGAATCATCCCTGAAAATTTGAAATTGATCTACCAAACGGTTCACCTGGAAATGCGTAGACAAGACTTTACAGACAAGATTTTAGGACGGAAAATCCAAAATGGCTGCCTTGACATTTACCCAGAACGCCAAAAAACTAATCAGATCTAGATTTTCATACTAAGATTCATCCCTGAAAGTTTGAAATTGATCTACCAAACGGTTCACCTGAAAACGTGTAGACAAGACTTTACAGACAAGATTTTAGGACGGAAAAAACCAAAATGGCCGACAATAAAAAAGTGATTATGAGTTTTTGCTGATTTCCTTTTACAAAATTATCACATATAACTACTGTTAACAATAACATAGGCTTTTTCAACAAAGTACACCTGGAATTATTTATAAAGCTACTAAATATTTAAAGTATGAAAACTCAAAAACACCATTCAATATGATACAAAGTATTATCGCGCGCTAACTTTTCTTCAGACATTCAAAATGGCTGACATGACTGGGCTAACAGGTCCAAAACCTAATCAGATGTAGAATGAAGTGAGCTGAACAAGATGTTAAAGTTTTAAAAGCAACTGTGAAGCCGTTTTTCTTAAAGTTTGCAGACAAGGATTTTAGCATTTGACCTCAAAATGGCCGACAGGAAGTAGCTATCGAGTTAATTTTTTTTCATCCACATCTGTATGCACTCACAAGTTATTCCTGAAAATTTGAAGGTGATACCTGTAGCGGTTTTGGAGAAAACTGCCGGACGTACGGACGGACAGACAGACAGACAAACAACCAGACAGACAGACGGACGGACGCGCCTAGGACGACAATATGGCCCCACACTATGTGGTGGGGACATAAAAAGGTGATATGGGAACTTGTCAGGTTTATTCATATTTTGGTATGCAAAGTTGGCAACATTCAAGTTAAATATGTCATAAATATTTAAGATTCTAAGATCTTTCAATAAAGGGGCAGCATGAGCTAACTTACTAGAATTTGTTATTAACCTGGCAAATTTCTTCTGGAGTATATGTAGAGGCTTGAGGAGTTTTTTATCAGCATTACCCCAAATTATATTACAGTAATCAAGCCCTGAATGAATAAGAGCATTATAAATTTTCATTTTCGAACAGTTGTCAAGTAAGTGCTTAGAAGTATATAATATGTGTATAATTTTAGCTATTTTCCCTTTTAGTTTTTGAGTGTGAAGTTTCCAATTTAGTTTGTCATCGATTAGGACACCAAGAAAATTAATGTTATCCTTCCTTGTAATATTTTTGTCATCAATTTTTATCTTGATTTCTTCAGGGTTATATGTTCCTCTTTTAGGTGAAAAGAATAAAAAATTAGTCTTTTCAATATTAAGTGATAACTTGTTAGCCATGAACCAGTCATTGACTTTTTTAAGTTCATTATTTGCAACAGATATGACTTCCCTGCATGGGTTTAATTATCAAGATATAACTTGAGATGGACATCTATAGCTGGTCACTGCTTGTTAGCTTGAGAATGACTTTGTTCTTTTTTCTTCTACAATTTGGTATTTATTCTGCTTGTTAGCCTTGCCCAAGTCGGTCTCTTTTACTTATCTTGATTTCTATTATGACTGCCTTGTACCCAAGAGAAAGCCACATGCTTAACCGACCCAATCTTTATGTCGGTAAAAGTTGATTAATCAACGACAGCCCTGTAGAGTTAGCTCATTATTATGCACGGTCAAAAACAAGTACACTTTTCACCGGGACTTTTCACGAACAAATCTTGCACGAATTCATCATGAAAATACAAATATTTTATCAGATAAATATCAATCAGAGTTTAGTGGATGCCGGAGCATCGATTGGATAACCGGAGGTGATAAGATTGAAACAATAAACGTTGAAACGATCGCTGAATTCAAATGATCGAACATGTAGGCTGAGATTGAATCACTGATCGACGACTGAATGACCCGCTACATTTTCATTTCAAGTCGTAGACGGGAGGTTTGCCTTGTTTATGCAGCTCAACCTGATAACGTTTTGATTGGTCAATCAGCCTGAAGTCACATGTCGTGTCGTCCACGCGATCTGTCAATCAATAAGGTTTCGCGATACCCCTGATAGCGTAGCTATTATGGAAATCTCGAAACCGTTGAATATCTCAGCATAATATCAGCGGAGATGTATTGGATTGTACAAGGAGGTAATAATTCAAGATCAGATTAGTAAAAAAATACCGACTTGGGCAAGGCTATCCGCTTGTCATTTCATGAGTTATTTTATTCCTAACCATGTGGCACCTCACTAATGTGCTATATCATATCACTGTGTCCTGTGTTTGGCTGAACTGATGGACAGATAGAGTCGTTCTCTATATCCTCCCAACTTTGTCTAATGGGATAAATGTAGGATGGCTATCTTGTGTTTTGATTGGCCAGATTGAAAAGTATCATGCCTAACAATATGTGTGAATATCATTTACCACATTCTAACTTACATGTAAAAGACCTAGTTGAGTGGCTGTAATAGGGTGGGACATCTCCAGGTCATAGGCACTGAGAGCCTTGCCCCACTTGTCTTCATGCTCATATGTTCTGATCCTGAGAAAAGATGGCACTGACATCAGTAAACATGCATGAGATGTCACATGAGAATTCTCTTAACATTTAAATGTGCTATCACACATCTTCCCATATTTTAGTCGATGTTTGCGCATGTATTACTATGAATATACAACTTAAGACATTATAGTTAGTTTTCTTGGGAAACATGCTACACTGGATGTTTTATTACATAGAGTTATATTTTCCCACATAGTTGTAAAAGTTGTAATTAAAAACACTCCTGTATTACATTGGGGCTTTTCTGATGATTACCTGGCAGATGTCTCAGCTAGCCTACCAGCCCCACAGCCATAGACACCATCAGGATCCCCTACACACTTGTAGGCCTCCAATAGTAGGGCCTGTACACTAATACCTCCCTGCAGAGAGGAAAGAGACTCCAGGGATGTCCCTGCATTCTCACTGCCCTGTGATATCGACCTACTGGAACCCCCCTCACTGCTGGACCCACTTTCTTCTCTGAATACAAGAGAAACAAGAGAAAAAATTTAAGAACATTGCACATGAATACTACTGAAACAAACTAGAAAATGGGAACTCCACAGAGTAGCAAATCTCAACGAACTGCACTATAACATATATAAATCTGTATTTGTAACAATGTAATATTTACCATCTACTCTTCCCTTGAAATATAATTGGTAGATCTTAAAATACATGTACATACATTAGAGATATATCAGAATTTCCAGGCAGCCATTTTGAATTTTCTGAGGCACAAATCACAAAAACAATATGATAATTGTGATCTACCCCATATTTCCTTCAATTTGAGTATAACATAACCATACTTTGAAGAGATCAGAAAATTATTGAACAATCCCACATAAGTTGGCCATTTTGAATTAACGAGGCTTAAATGAGAAAAATGATACTATATGTGTATTCTACATTAAATTACCTTTCATTTGAGTATATTAAAGCTATATTTCAGAAAGATCTCAATATTAACGCAAATTCCTTATGGCAGCCATTTTTAAAGCGGTGACCATCTTGAAAGCTTTCCACCAATTTTGAAGCAAAACCATCTACTAGATATAGTATTTGAGTTATCTTCCGGATGGATTGACTGAGGGACGGACTGACTGATGGACAGAGGGCTTCACTATATCCCTACCGAAATGTGTTCGTTGGGAAAATGAGAATTTCTGCTAAATCATATGACTAAATAATTCCTTTATCATACAGATGACACATTTCACGTTACATTTTATTGAACATGATCTTAAAGAAATATGACATTTATGCTGAGTAATGTGCAGCCTTACCGATATACGAGGGGTGATCCAAAAATCTTGGACGCCCCGCTCTAACTTTGCTATTTTTCAATATAATTACATGAAACTTTCAGATAGTAAAGATCAACATCTTAACAACTTTGTGTTTAAATTTTTCTTGCCGCTTTACCCATGAATGGAAGACATTTATGAAACCACCATTGCTTATGTGATACAAATGTTCCTTGAGTGCCAATCTAAACCTCATCCAATGAGTAAAAACATTTTCTTTCAACCCTCTACTCCTTTCAGAAAAGAAAATTACACCGAGTCATATCCAGACTGTATCGCGCAGATGGGAGCTGCTCAAGGTCAATAATAGTGTGAACATTTTGTAGTATTCTTTGTTTCACTTTGATTTCTTTCATCTTCTCCATTTCAGCAGCCATCTTGGAGCAAAAATGATACCAGAATGAGGGTTGCTTGTCTGATGTCATTTTCTTAGAATTTGACATATACGGCCATTGTCATATGTGACATTATAATTAAAACAAAATTAATTGGTTCCCTGGTAACAAAGGAAGTAAACTAACATGGTTAGATATTCAAAATTAAAAGGAAGATAGTGGTTAAAATTTGCGAAACAAGTCATATGGCGGCAACATTTAAGGCTGAAAGTTGCCATATGCGAATACCGTTCCGGGTAGCAGGGTCCTGTAATTTTATCGAAAACCAACAAAATTAGAGCAGGGCGTCCAAGACTTTTGGATCACCCCTCATATACAGCAAAGTGATTTGCTGATCAATTTATGTGCAGGTAGAGAAGTAGTTTGTTGAGTTATGTACAGCTTGGGCTACTTGAATATAGTCACTGACTGTTCACTTACCCACATATACAGCAATGTATTTCAGTATACAGTAAGGCAGAGAAGTGATTTGTTGAGTTATATGCAGCTTGGGCTACTTGAATATAGTCATTGACTGTTCACTTACCCACATATACAGCAATGTATTTCAGTATACAGTAAGGCAGAGAAGTGATTTGTTGAGTTATATGCAGCTTGGGCTACTTGAATATAGTCATTGTTCACTTACCCACATATACAGCAATGTATTTCAGTATACAGTAAGGCAGAGAAGTGATTTGTTGAGTTATATGCAGCTTGGGCTACTTGAATATAGTCATTGTTCACTTACCCACATATACAGCAATGTATTTCAGTATACAGTAAGGCAGAGAAGTGATTTGTTGAGTTATATGCAGCTTGGGCTACTTGAATATAGTCATTGACTGTTCACTTACCCACATATACAGCAATGTATTTCAGTATACAGTAAGGCAGAGAAGTGATTTGTTGAGTTATATGCAGCTTGGGCTACTTGAATATAGTCATTGACTGTTCACTTACCCACATATACAGCAATGTATTTCAGTATACAGTAAGGCAGAGAAGTGATTTGTTGAGTTATATGCAGCTTGGGCTACTTGAATATAGTCATTGTTCACTTACCCACATATACAGCAATGTATTTCAGTATACAGTAAGGCAGAGAAGTGATTTGTTGAGTTATGTGCAGCTTGGGCTACTTGAATATAGTCATTGACTGTTCACTTACCCACATATACAGCAATGTATTTCAGTATACAGTAAGGCAGAGAAGTGATTTGTTGAGTTATGTGCAGCCTGGGCTAGTTGTAAATAGTTGATATCCAACCAGAAGTTGTTCTCCCAAGCTGTCTGGCTTACTTTCCTATAACAATGTCCAAGTGAGCACAATGTTAAAATTACCCAACAAGGACAACACTTAAGAAGAATTTTCTTGCTTTGTTAAGATTAATTTGATCCAGTAAATAATTAAGCTTCCAATTTGATTTAACCAAAATATAAAAAATTTCTGTTTTTATTGTACAAATATGGGTACATGAGTTAAAAAGAATAGGATGCATTTAAGAAAATCTATTACTTTTGTTTTGGCCTATCTTGTGTGCGCAGATACTGTACTACGCTAAGCAGGGTCCTCACTGAGCGCTTGTTCATACACACTCCACCCTTTCTGGTTGAAGATGCTAGAAAACATTTGAAATATTCTACATTTTTCAAAACCTCAGTTGTAAATATACCAAAATACTATCACACTTCTCAAATAATGATGTAATTATGAGTTTAATCATATACTTACAACAAGGTTGTGGGGTTGTGACACGCCCACTTATTTCTTCAGATCTACTGCAATGTTGAGAAAAGAAATGTCTCATTTGGGAAGAAATTACTTCTCTATGTGTTTGGTTTCCTGCTTGTAGAATGTTGTGAATAAGGAATGGCAGGACCATCTCACAGAAGGCTACCTGACAATGAGAAAACAGACAGGAGTTGTCATAATAATAAGAAATAGTCATTAACAATGAGAAATCGTCAGGAGTTGTCATAACAATGAGAAATAGACTGGGTTCAAAGCAATTGATGATTTGCGATCACTGGATGAATTCTATCTTGTAGTGACGTCACAATTAGGCCACACTGCTATAGCTTTTTGATCTTGAGAGATTATCTTCTGTATTTCGTACTTTGATTTATTTTTCACGAAAATGTTCGATTTGACTAGATCAACATTCATTCCGAGCACATGCCAAGTCTAAGATCTTACTGATATGATCTAGATAGCGGTTAAGCGCCCCGTGATTTTGAAAAAAACAGGGGGCACTTATAGGCATCGATGTTAAATTAAAAAAATAGTTGTGAGTTGTCATGACAATGTTCTCATAAAAATTAGAGTCTAAAACAACATGTCATGTCATTATGGTGACATATAAATAGTCAGGGTTGTCATAATCCAGAATTGCCATTACAATAAGAAAAAAATAGTATAAAAGCTGTCAAAACAATGAGAAAAACAATGCATTAACATGACAAAATGTCACCACTACCTAGAAAATTTAATCAATTTGAAGCAAGTTGAAAAATACCTTTCTGATCTTTCTAACTTAAAAACCTTTTAGACCTTTTTTACCAGGTCAAATCTTAAATCTAAAGTCAGATATGAATTTCTGAAAACATGTAGATTGAAAAAAATTGAGCCAATTTCAAGCAAGTTGAAAAATACTCAAATCTATAGTCAGATTTGAACTTCTGAGAACTCGTAGATGATTTTGAAGAAAAAAATTAAGCAAGTTGAAAAAATACCTTTTTGACCTTTATAATCTTAAGACCTTTTTTAATTTGCGAAGGTCATTGAAGGTAAAGTCTCAAATCTTAAGTCAGATTCGAATTTCTGAGTGTTAATGATTTAAAATAATAATAATAACCTTTTTTTTACCTTGAAAGGTCATTGAAGGTCAAATCTCAAATCTAGTCAGATTTAAACTTCTGATAACTCATAGATGATTTTGAAGCAGGTTGATAAAAGACCTTTTTGACCTTTTTTAACCTTTTTGACCTTCTAAAGGTCATTTAAGGTCAAATCTTAAATGAGCTTTGAACTTCTGAAAACAATAGATGATTTTGAAAAAAATTGAAGTTTGTCTAAAGTCTGTGTGAGAATTTGTTTCAGACGCCACCCGCCAATTATAAAACTTTTTTTACTTTGAAAAGGTCAATGAAGGTCAAATCTTAAATCTGAATTAAGATTTGAACTTCTGAAAACTTGTAGATGATTTTGAAAAAAAATTGAAGTCAGTCTAAACAGTATTTGTTAAGTTATTGCAAGTTAAGGATTTCTTACAGACGCGAACCACTAACTGCCAACCACAAAAAACGGAGACCATTACAATATGTCACCTCTTTTTGGTGGTGATGTAACAAGACACATGGGATAAATATCGCACTTTGAAGAGAAAAACTGGTCACAATGGTTACACCTAAAGAAGTACTTTTTAGAAGGACACAACTATTTATTCTGGAAGTGATCATCTTGAAATTTTTACATACTGTTAGAAATGAGGTGAATTTATACATCCTGAAATATTTTCTTCGAAATATTAAAACGTGCGTTTGTAGAACGGTTTTTGTGAAGCGATGAAATTCAATTTTCCATATTTCACCGTTACATTTTGCTTAAAATCAATAACTTTCCCATTACTGTACAAGCAAAATAGAATGTGGCTAAGTAACATAATGAAGCAAAGTCTTAGATTTCATAAAGAAATCGATGGGCGCTCAACCAAAAATATATGTTAAGAATTTTTCACAATTATTCCGTTATTATTTTTTCCGTTATTCTCATGAGTGGAAAGGTCTCTAAAACATTTTTCTAGGGAAACGCCCATTGATTTCTTTTTATTTTCTAAGAGATCAGATAAAAAGGTATCTTACAACTGCGACACTTTGTTCCTATCCCATTAGGCCATACACAGATTTTAAACACAAATAAAGAGTCTAACCTTAAAAAACGAGTTCATTGCCTTGCCAAAAATGTTCTTAAAAAGCAATTTTTATATCACACAAGTTGTTTTTCGGAATATCTAAGATCACCTCATCTCTGATGTGTTAAATTTCCATGATGATCACAACCAGAATAAAAAAAAGCAATGTCCTTCTAAAAAGCGTTCCTTATCGGGGGTTCTCCTTTGAATCCAAAAAAAATCAATTTTAAAAATCAACCTTTTTTTACCTTTCAAAGGTCAATGAAGGTCAATCAAAGGTCAAATCTCAAGTCAAAAGTCAGATTTAAACTTTAGGATTATTTTTCTTTAAAATTTGGTCAATTTGGTCGATTTGTTTTTCTTAATTTAAATATATCAAAAGTTTCTTCTACACTATTTTAATAACTTCTGAAAAGGGGATGGATATTGAAATGCCATTGGGAAATGGCGATGATAGGTCAAATAGGCATTATGGATATGCATAAAATGAATGTGGATATGACTCAATCTGAATGGCAGTTTTAATTTGTGCGGCCAATGTTGACGGACGGACGGACCAACGGACGGACGCCTGGTCGATCCCATAGGCTCACTGTGTGAGCCAAAAACATAAAATAACACACGTAAAAATGGTGGCCATTTTCAAAATGGCTGTCTTCATGTCAAAGTGTCATAAAGCAGTGTGCCATGCATATAAGTATTCACATATCAAATAAGAACAAAGTTTCTCCTCTAGTTTTCAAGTTACAGCAAAAATCGTGAAATATTGTTTAAAGGCAGCCATTTCTCAAGGTGGCAGCCATTCATTTTTCAATATCTACATTTCTAGCTTTATTAATGTCCTAAATAACTTTTTCACATTTAAAGCATTGCTGCTATTATTGTACCTAAATGACTGTAAAATCGGCACTAAAATAGCCACCATTTTTATATGAGCGGCCATTTTAAAATTGGCCTATGATTCCAGCTCCGGTTGGAGACCACAGTAGAATTTTCATAGGTGGCCATTATAACATTTAACCCTGTATCTTATTAACGATCAGTATCCAAGCCTAGTGCAACATACCACAGTGTTCGGGAGAGACTCGCCTAGCCTGCTATAACAATCTTACCATGGGTTGTCCACTGAATTTTTGAAATAAATAAACTTGAAGACACTAATCCCCTCTATCGTCAGATTTCTCAGAGAATTCTGGTAAAATCACCAAGGTCAAAATCACTCCGCCGTCAGCTTAAAATGAGATTTCCCACTGAACTCTGACATGTTTTCAGATAAATTAGGACCTACCTTATAAATATTTAGTCCCGATTCACTTCCAAAATGCCAGATGGCGCTCCAATGGGGTAGGGAAGGAGTAAATGACTTTTTATTCAGAAAACCAAATCACTAACGGTAACCGCTAATGTCCTTACTCAGGACTATATCCTAATAGTAAACTGAATTAGTTTGTTTTCTTCCAACATGGTTATATTAGCATTGTAGGCATTATCCCGATCACAATGGTATATAACAATGCTACATTTGAGAAAATGCACGGAGGAAGATTCAATCCTTATAGACACAGGTCCTTTTAGCAAAATCCAGGAAATTTGATTTTGAGATTTCTTGAAATTTCTTTGGGGTAGGGGTACACCTTACAGATTGCATCACAGATTGAGTTCACCTAACTGAGGTGAACATGTCCATATGGGGTATCATTGGAAAGCGATTTCTACTATCTTTCAAGTAATATCCATGCCAAGGCGTTCGATTGCATCTTATGACATCATAACGGTAGGAAGAAACAAAGGTTCATTCAAAACTGCCCCGAAAACAATTGAATGGCACGGGAGAATGGAATTCGGGTACTTGGCACAGTGGCCTCAACCCAAAAACACCAAAGTTGCTTCAAAATGTTACGATTTTGGTACCATTGTTCAGCTAAAATACAGCCCATATGATATGCGCTATTAGGCTTCTCAGTGAACTAAAAAACCTCAAAAAGGGATAAAACCTTCAAAATGCCCCAAAAAAGCGCCTTCTAATAGGTTGGAGACCACAGTAGAGTTTCCCATAGGTGGCCATTATAACATTTTACCCTGTATCTTATTAACAATTAGTATCCAAGCCTAGTGCAACATACCACAGTGTTCGGGAGAGACTCGCCTAGCCTGCTATAACAATCTTACCATGGGTTGTCCACCGAATTTTTGAAATAAATAAACTTGAAGACACTAATCCCCTCTATCGTCAGATTTCTCAGAGAATTCTGGTAAAATCACCAAGGTCAAAATCACTCCGCCGCCAGCTTAAAATGAGATTTCCCACTGAACTCTGACATGTTTTCAGATAAATTAGGACCTACCTTATATTTAAATATTTAGTCCCGATTCACTTCCCAAACGCCAGATGGCGCTCCAATGGGGTAGGGAAGGAGAAAATGACTTTTTATTCAGAAAACCAAATCACTAACGGTAACCGCTAATGTCCTTACTCAGGACTATATCCTCCATAGGGCATATGTGTACAAAAACAAAATGGTATTTCAGTAATCACCCGGGCAGACGTACAGATGGACAGAGGTGTTCTCTTTATACCTCTGAATGATTTATCTTTACAGCAATATATAATACATGGCATGGTTTAACATATATAATATGATACTCATCTTTAAACTTGTGTATTGGTTTTTTGGCCCACCATGTATATATCTTGTATCAATTAAATGATTATAAATATAACTATTCATTCTTTAAGTAATTTTTCATTTTGCTTCCTGAATCAATTCTTTTTTCGTTCAGCGCTACAAAAAAATCATCCCTATGGTATCAGCATCACAAATAAAGCCATGCCTACTCAAGCAACTATCTTTGACAGGTTCAACAAGTGAGTGGCGAGTACTGACATTCGAGTTGCACCACTAATGAATTCCCCTTGGCACTTGTACAGTACTAATACTGGCACGAGTGACAATTCACAACTAATGAAATGTATGTACCTTAACTTTACAAACATTGGTTAAATGTTGCAAGATGCCATCAGTGACAGCAGTACTCTCAATGAGTGATGTGACAAGTGTTATCAACCATGTGTTATGGTCATCATGACCAGGGCACCAGAGATCAAGGTCATCAATGCACTTAAGGAACTTCTCATCATTCACCTCCTGCTGGCTGCTACCAATAACCTACAAAACAGTAAAGCAACAATTAATAGGACAAAAATATAATTGTTTTATCCAATGAGATCATTTTGATGAGTGCAGCGAATAGTATTTCTACTACAATCCAATTAAGACTCGATGATTATATTATTACAGTGCGAGCAAGCAATCTTACTGAGGCCTTAGTAGGCATTTTTGACAATTTGAAGTTCAGCCAAAGGACTGTAAAAGTGGAAACTTTGCCAACTTTTTTCATTGTGTATCTCCATAGAGGAGAGAAATGCAATATAAAATAGTATTCGATATTTTGAATCATTTTCGAGATATCCATGTTCTAAAAGTAGGTCAACCAAAAAGTTCTCCAAAGTCAAGGTTTGAGGTGTCAAAATTATAGGATATCTATATCAATTTCTTTGTTTTAGCAATAACTGTACTATAATTGCATATTTTTTTTAAGACTGTGTACCAATAAAGAATAGGCTTATATAATATAACAAGAACACAAATGTGTACAAAATGTCCCAACCTATGGGTGATCCCGTCAAATGGTTATCCTAAAAATGAGTGGACAAGACTTTACCGACACAATTTGAGGATGGAAAATTCAAAATGGCCACTTTAAAATAGTCAGTTCTAGATTTTCATACTTAGAACCACCCCTGAAAATTTGAAATTGATCCGTCACACAGTTAACCAGAAAACATGTAAACAAAACTTTATAGACAAGATTTGAGGACAGAAAATCCAAAATGACTGCCTTGACATTTATCCAGAATGCCAAAAAACTAATCTGTTCTAGATTTTCATACTAAGAATCATCCCTGAAAATTTGAAATTGATCTACCAAACGGTTCACCTGAAAACGCGTAGACAAGACTTTACAGACAAGATTTTAGTATGGAAAAAACCAAAATGGCAGACAATAAAAAAGTGATTATGAGTTTTTGCTGATTTCATTTTACAAAATTATCACATATAACTACTATTAACAATAACATAGGCTTTTACAACAAAGTACACCTGAAATTATTTATAAAGCTACTAAATAGTTAAAGTATCAAAACTCAAAAACACCATTTAATATGATACAAAGTATTATAGCGCGCTTACTTTTCTTAAGACATTCAAAATGGCTGACATGACTGAGCTAACAGGTCCAAAACCTAATAAGATGTAGAATGAAGTGAGCTGAACAAGATGTTAAAGTTTTAAAAGCAACTGTGAAGCCATTTTTCGGACAAGTTTGCGGACAAGGATTTTAGCATTTGACCTCAAAATGGCCGACAGGAAGTAGCTATCGAGTTAATTTCTTTTCATCCACATCTTTATGCATTCACAAGTTATTCCTGAAAATTTGAAGGTGATACCTGTAGCGGTCTTGGAGAAAACTGCCGGACGTACTGATGGACAGACAGACAACCAGACAACCAGACGGACGGACGCGCCTAGGACGACAATATGGCCTCACACTATGTGGTGGGGACATAAAAACTAAAAAAAAATGGCATCTTGAGTCTGAAATTGAAATTCAATTTCCGATGTCTAGTTATTCATAGCAGACACATTATACTGTACCTTTTTCTTACTGGTACGGAATGGATACAGATAGTTGAAGAGATAGTCTTGGATGTTCTGTTTGTAGCTTGCTGCAAACTTTGCACCAGCCTGAGTGGCCAGTAGAGCCTTCAATACAGCACTTGATGCAACCACTGTCTCAACACTACAAACAGATATTGCACTATATCAACACTTCAAACATAAGCTACAACTACTGTCTCAACACGACAAACATAAGATACAACTACTGTCTCAATACTACAAACATAAGCTACAACCACTGTCTCGACACTACAAACATAAGATACAACTACTGTCTCAATACTACAAACATAAGATACAACCACTATTTCAACACTACAAACAAAACATAAGATACAACCACTGTCTGAACACTACAAACATAAGATACAACTACTGTCTCAACACTACAAACAAAACATAAGATACAACCACTGTCTGAACACTACAAACATAAGATACAACTACTGTCTGAACACTACAAACATAAGATACAACCACTGTCTCAACACTGCAAACAGAAGATACAACCACTGTCTCAACACTTCAAACATAAGATACAACCACTGTCTCAACACTACAAACATAAGATACAACCACTATTTCAACACTACAAACATAAGATACAACCACTGTCTCAACACTTCAAACATAAGATACAACCACTGTCTCAACACTTCAAACATAAGATACAACCACTGTCTCAACACTACAAACATAAGATACAACCACTGTCTCAACACTACAAACATAAGATACAACTACTGTCTCAACACTGCAAACAGAAGATACAACCACTATTTCAACACTGCAAACAGAAGATACAACTACTATTTCAACACTTCAAACATAAGATACAACTACTGTCTCAACACTACAAACATAAGATACAACTACTATTTCAACACTTCAAACATAAGATACAACCACTGTCTCAACATTACAAACATAAGATACGACCACTGTCTCAACACTACAAACAGAAGATACAACCACTGTCTCAACACTACAAACATAAGATACAACCACTGTCTCAACACTGCAAACAGAAGATACAACCACTATTTCAACACTACAAACAAAACATAAGATACAACCACTGTCTCAACACTACAAACAGAAGATACAACCACTGTCTCAACACTACAAACATAAGATACAACCACTGTCTCAACACTGCAAACAGAAGATACAACCACTATTTCAACACTACAAACAAAACATAAGATACAACCACTATTTCAACACTACAAACAAAACATAAGATACAACTACTGTCTCAACATTACAAACATAAGATACAACCACTGTCTCAACACTTCAAACATAAGCTACAACTACTGTCTCAACACTACAAACATAAGCTACAACTACTGTCTCAATACTACAAACATAAGCTACAACCACTGTCTCGACACTACAAACATAAGATACAACTACTGTCTCAATACTACAAACATAAGATACAACCACTATTTCAACACTACAAACAAAACATAAGATACAACCACTGTCTGAACACTACAAACATAAGATACAACTACTGTCTCAACACTACAAACATAAGATACAACTACTGTCTCAACACTACAAACATAAGATACAACTACTGTCTCAACACTACAAACATAAGATACAACTACTGTCTCAACACTACAAACATAAGATACAACTACTGTCTCAACACTACAAACATAAGATTCAACTACTGTCTCAACACTACAAACATAAGATACAACCACTGTCTCAACACTACAAACATAAGATACAACTACTGTCTCAACACTACAAACATAAGATACAACTACTGTCTCAACACTGCAAACAGAAGATACAACCACTGTCTCAACACTTCAAACATAAGATACAACCACTATTTGAACACTACAAACATAAGATACAACCACTGTCTCAACACTACAAACATAAGATACAACTACTGTCTCAACACTTCAAACATAAGATACAACCACTGTCTCAACACTTCAAACATAAGATACAACCACTGTCTCAACACTACAAACAGAAGATACAACCACTGTCTCAACACTACAAACATAACATACAACTACTGTCTCAACACTACAAACATAAGATACAACCACTATTTCAACACTTCAAACATAAGATACAACCACTGTCTGAACACTACAAACATAAGATACAACTACTATTTCAACACTTCAAACATAAGCTACAACCACTGTCTCAACACTACAAACATAAGATAAAACCACTGTCTCAACACTACAAACATAAGATACAACCACTGTCTCGACACTACAAACATAAGATACAACTACTATTTCAACACTACAAACATAAGATACAACCACTGTCTCAACACTACAAACATAAGATACAACTACTGTCTCAACACTTCAAACATAAGATACAACCACTATTTCAACACTACAAACATAAGATACAACCACTGTCTCAACACTACAAACATAAGATACAACTACTGTCTCAACACTTCAAACATAAGATACAACCACTGTCTCAACACTTCAAACATAAGATACAACCACTGTCTCAACACTTCAAACATAAGATACAACCACTGTCTGAACACTACAAACATAAGATACAACTACTGTCTCAACACTACAAACATAAGATACAACTACTGTCTCAACACTTCAAACATAAGATACAACCACTGTCTGAACACTACAAACATAAGATACAACTACTGTCTCAACACTACAAACATAAGATACAACCACTATTTCAACACTACAAACATAAGATACAACTACTGTCTCAACACTTCAAACATAAGATACAACCACTGTCTCAACACTTCAAACATAAGATACAACTACTATTTCAACACTACACACAAAACATAAGATACAACCACTATTTCAACACTACAAACAAAACATAAGATACAACCACTATTTCAACACTACAAACATAAGATACAACTACTGTCTCAACACTACAAACATAAGATACAACCACTGTCTCAACACTACAAACATAAGATACAACTACTGTCTCAACACTACAAACATAAGATACAACTACTGTCTCAACACTACAAACATAAGATACAACCACTGTCTCAACACTACAAACATAAGATACAACTACTGTCTCAACACTTCAAACATAAGATACAACCACTGTCTCAACACTTCAAACATAAGATACAACCACTGTCTCAACACTTCAAACATAAGATACAACCACTGTCTGAACACTACAAACATAAGATACAACTACTATTTCAACACTTCAAACATAAGCTACAACCACTGTCTCAACACTACAAACATAAGATAAAACCACTGTCTCAACACTACAAACATAAGATACAACCACTGTCTCGACACTACAAACATAAGATACAACTACTATTTCAACACTACAAACATAAGATACAACCACTGTCTCAACACTACAAACATAAGCTACAACCACTGTCTCAACACTACAAACAAAACATAAGATACAACCACTGTCTCAACACTACAAACAGAAGATACAACCACTGTCTCAACATTACAAACATAAGCTACAACCACTGTCTCAACATTACAAACATAAGATACAACCACTGTCTCAACACTTCAAACATAAAATACAACTACTATTTCAACACTACAAACATAAGATACAACCACTGTCTCAACACTACAAACATAAGATACAACCGCTATTTCAACACTTCAAACATAAGATACAACCACTGTCTGAACACTACAAACATAAGATACAACTACTGTCTCAACACTTCAAACATAAGATACAACCACTATTTCAACACTACAAACAAAACATAAGATACAACAACTGTCTGAATACTACAAACATAAGCTACAACCACTGTCTCAACACTACAAACATAAGATACAACCACTATTTCAACACTACAAACATAAGCTACAACCACTGTCTCAACACTACAAACATAAGCTACAACTACTATTTCAACACTTCAAACAGAAGATACAACCACTGTCTCAACACTACAAACATAAGATACAACTACTGTCTCAACACTGCAAACAGAAGATACAACCACTGTCTCGACACTTCAAACATAAGATACAACCACTGTCTCAACATTACAAACATAAGATACAACTACTGTCTCAATACTACAAACATAAGATACAACCACTGTCTCAACACTACAAACATAAGATACAACCACTGTCTCAACACTACAAACATAAGATACAACCACTGTCTCAACATTACAAACATAAGATACAACTACTGTCTCAATACTACAAACATAAGATACAACCACTGTCTCAACACTTCAAACATAAGATACAACCACTGTCTCAACATTACAAACATAAGCTACAACTACTATTTCAACACTTCAAACATAAGATACAACCACTGTCTCAACATTACAAACATAAGCTACAACTACTATTTCAACACTTCAAACATAAGATACAACTACTATTTCAACACTTCAAACATAAGATACAACCACTGTCTCAACATTACAAACATAAGCTACAACTACTATTTCAACACTTCAAACATAAGATACAACTACTATTTCAACACTTCAAACATAAGATACAACCACTGTCTCAACATTACAAACATAAGCTACAACCACTGTCTCAACATTACAAACATAAGATACAACCACTGTCTCAACATTACAAACATAAGATACAACTACTATTTCAACACTACAAACATAAGATACAACCACTGTCTCAACACTGCAAACATAAAATACAACTACTATTTCAACACTTCAAACATAAGATACAACCACTGTCTCAACACTTCAAACATAAGCTACAACTACTATTTCAACACTACAAACATAAGATACAACTACTGTCTCAACACTGCAAACATAAAATACAACTACTGTCTCAACACTGCAAACATAAAATACAACTACTATTTCAACACTTCAAACATAAGATACAACCACTGTCTCAACACTGCAAACATAAAATACAACTACTATTTCAACACTTCAAACATAAGATACAACTACTGTCTCAATACTTCAAACATAAAATACAACTACTATTTCAACACTTCAAACATAAGCTACAACCACTGTCTCAACACTACAAACATAAGATACAACCACTGTCTCAACACTACAAACATAAGATACAACTACTGTCTCAACACTTCAAACATAAGATACAACCACTGTCTCAACACTTCAAACATAAGATACAACTACTATTTCAACACTACAAACATAAGATACAACTACTGTCTCAACACTACAAACATAAGATACAACTACTGTCTCAATACTACAAACATAAGATACAACTACTGTCTCAACACTACAAACATAAGATACAACTACTGTCTCAACACTTCAAACATAAGATACAACCACTATTTCAACACTACAAACATAAGAAACAACTACTGTCTCAACACTACAAACATAAGCTACAACTACTGTCTCAACACTACAAACATAAGATACAACCACTCTCTCAACACTTCAAACATAAGATACAACTACTGTCTCAACACTTCAAACATAAGCTACAACCACTGTCTCAACACTGCAAACAGAAGATACAACCACTATTTCAACACTACAAACATAAGATACAACCACTGTCTCGACACTACAAACATAAGATACAACTACTGTCTCAACACTTCAAACATAAGATACAACCACTGTCTGAACACTACAAACATAAGATTCAACTACTATTTCAACACTACAAACATAAGATACAACTACTGTCTCAACACTTCAAACATAAGCTACAACTACTTTTTCAACACTACAAACATAAGATACAACTACTGTCTCAACACTGCAAACATAAAATACAACTACTATTTCAACACTTCAAACATAAGATACAACCACTGTCTCAACACTGCAAACATAAAATACAACTACTGTCTCAACATTACAAACATAAGCTACAACTGCTATTTCAACACTTCAAACATAAGATACAACTACTATTTCAACACTTCAAACATAAGATACAACTACTGTCTCAACACTGCAAACATAAAATACAACTACTGTCTCAACACTGCAAACATAAAATACAACTACTATTTCAACACTTCAAACATAAGATACAACCACTGTCTCAACACTGCAAACATAAAATACAACTACTATTTCAACACTTCAAACATAAGATACAACCACTGTCTCAACACTACAAACATAAGATACAACCACTGTCTCAACACTACAAACATAAGCTACAACTACTATTTCAACACTTCAAACATAAGATACAACTACTGTCTCAACACTTCAAACATAAGCTACAACTACTTTTTCAACACTACAAACATAAGCTACAACTGCTATTTCAACACTTCAAACATAAGATACAACTACTATTTCAACACTTCAAACATAAGATACAACCACTGTCTCAACATTACAAACATAAGCTACAACTACTATTTCAACACTACAAACATAAGCTACAACTGCTATTTCAACACTTCAAACATAAGATACAACTACTATTTCAACACTTCAAACATAAGATACAACTACTGTCTCAATACTACAAACATAAGATACAACCACTGTCTCAACACTACAAACATGTGATACAACCACTATTTCAACACTACAAACAAAACATAAGATACAACCACTGTCTGAACACTACAAACATAAGATACAACTACTGTCTCAACACTTCAAACATAAGATACAACCACTATTTCAACACTACAAACAAAACATAAGATACAACAACTGTCTGAATACTACAAACATAAGCTACAACCACTGTCTCAACACTACAAACATAAGATACAACCACTATTTCAACACTACAAACATAAGCTACAACCACTGTCTCAACACTACAAACATAAGCTACAACTACTATTTCAACACTTCAAACAGAAGATACAACCACTGTCTCAACACTACAAACATAAGATACAACTACTGTCTCAACACTGCAAACAGAAGATACAACCACTGTCTCGACACTTCAAACATAAGATACAACCACTGTCTCAACATTACAAACATAAGATACAACTACTGTCTCAATACTACAAACATAAGCTACAACTACTGTCTCAACACTACAAACATAAGATACAACTACTGTCTCAACACTGCAAACAGAAGATACAACCACTGTCTCAACATTACAAACATAAGATACAACTACTGTCTCAATACTACAAACATAAGCTACAACTACTGTCTCAATACTACAAACATAAGATACAACCACTGTCTCAACATTACAAACATAAGATACAACTACTGTCTCAATACTACAAACATAAGCTACAACTACTGTCTCAATACTACAAACATAAGATACAACCACTGTCTCAACATTACAAACATAAGCTACAACTACTGTCTCAATACTACAAACATAAGATACAACTACTGTCTCAATACTACAAACATAAGATACAACCACTGTCTCAACACTACAAACATAAGATACAACCACTGTCTCAACACTTCAAACATAAGATACAACCACTGTCTCAACACTACAAACATAAGATACAACCACTATTTCAACACTACAAACATAAGCTACAACCACTGTCTCAACACTACAAACATAAGCTACAACTACTATTTCAACACTTCAAACATAAGCTACAACCACTGTCTCAACACTACAAACATAAGATACAACCACTGTCTCAATACTACAAACATAAGATACAACCACTGTCTCAACACTACAAACATAAGATACAACCACTATTTCAACACTGCAAACAGAAGATACAACCACTGTCTCAACACTTCAAATATAAGATACAACCACTGTCTCAACACTACAAACATAAGATACAACCACTATTTCAACACTACAAACATAAGCTACAACCACTGTCTCAACACTACAAACATAAGCTACAACTACTATTTCAACACTTCAAACATAAGCTACAACCACTGTCTCAACACTACAAACATAAGATACAACCACTATTTCAACACTACAAACATAAGATACAACCACTGTCTCAACACTACAAACATAAGATACAACCACTATTTCAACACTACAAACATAAGATACAACCACTGTCTCAACACTACAAACATAAAATACAACTACTATTTCAACACTTCAAACATAAGATACAACCACTGTCTCAACACTACAAACATAAGATACAACCACTGTCTCAACACTACAAACATAAGATACAACTACTATTTCAACACTTCAAACATAAGATACAACCACTGTCTCAACACTACAAACATAAGCTACAACTACTGTCTCAACACTACAAACATAAGCTACAACTTCTATTTCAACACTTCAAACATAAGATACAACTACTATTTCAACACTTCAAACATAAGATACAACCACTGTCTCAACATTACAAACATAAGCTACAACTACTATTTCAACACTACAAACATAAGCTACAACTGCTATTTCAACACTTCAAACATAAGATACAACTACTATTTCAACACTTCAAACATAAGATACAACTACTGTCTCAATACTACAAACATAAGATACAACCACTGTCTCAACACTACAAACATAAGATACAACCACTATTTCAACACTACAAACAAAACATAAGATACAACAACTGTCTGAACACTACAAACATAAGATACAACCACTATTTCAACACTACAAACAAAACATAAGATACAACAACTGTCTGAACACTACAAACATAAGATACAACTACTGTCTCAACACTACAAACATAAGATACAACCACTGTCTGAACACTACAAACATAAGATACAACCACTGTCTCAACACTACAAACATAAGATACAACTACTGTCTCAATACTACAAACATAAGATACAACCACTATTTCAACACTACAAACAAAACATAAGATACAACAACTGTCTGAACACTACAAACATAAGATACAACTACTGTCTCAACACTACAAACATAAGATACAACCACTATTTCAACACTACAAACAAAACATAAGATACAACAACTGTCTGAACACTACAAACATAAGCTACAACCACTGTCTCGACACTACAAACATAAGATACAACTACTGTCTCAATACTACAAACATAAGATACAACCACTATTTCAACACTGCAAACAGAAGATACAACCACTGTCTCAACACTGCAAACATAAGATACAACCACTGTCTCAACACTACAAACATAAGATACAACCACTGTCTCGACACTACAAACATAAGATACAACTACTATTTCAACACTACAAACATAAGATACAACCACTGTCTCGACACTACAAACATAAGATACAACTACTATTTCAACACTGCAAACAGAAGATACAACCACTGTCTCAACACTGCAAACATAAGATACAACCACTGTCTCAACACTGCAAACATAAGATACAACTACTATTTCAACACTTCAAACATAAGCTACAACTACTGTCTCAACACTACAAACATAAGCTACAGTATCTTACCATGAGTCTATAAGATAGCTGCTTAGTATATGGAATATCTGACAGTTACGCTGCATGATTGGGTTATCCTTATAAACTGTCATAGCACTCTCCAAATGTGCAGTCATGTGATTTTCTGTCATGGCAACAACAGATAAGTCAGTAGGGCCAATCTCACCAAGACATTTTGCGGCTTCAAGACAGATTTTGGAGTTGGGACTAGCAGAGATGTCACATAATTCTTGAACCAGACGTATCAACACACACTCAGTCTTTTTTTCTAGACGAGAAGGCAAAAAAATCGTTTAATTCATACTTTAATGACTAATGTACAACCACATTTTTTTTATACATGTAAGTGTTCATTTAACTTGAGTAATATATGACCTTTTAGATCAGTGGAGGTTCAGCGGGAAAGAACTCTTTAAAAGAATCTACATTGTGGACTTTGGTAAACTATATCAGCCTAGTTTTTAATGAGCATTGTACAAAGACAAAGTGTCCCTAAGCATTAATGTTGTAGGATTGATGCTGATGATTCATGATGATTCATGATGAGAATCCATCTGTTAGTATTCAGAACTTTCGTAGAGTTATGAATTCGCAAGTCAATTGTTCATTTATGCATTAACAGAATTTCCATAAAGTTACAAACGATTCGCAAAGTTACGAAAAAATGATGTCACATGTGCTTTCATTTGTAACTTGACGAGCACTTCAGACCCTTTCATAACTTTGCGAACTGCATATTTCTCACTCATTTCTTATATATAAGGTATACAGTTTGTCAAGAACAAATTGTTTTTTATATGCATGCAAAATCTCAAGTTTAACTAGAAAAACAGCAACTCCACAGTGTAGCAAATCCCACCGAACAAAACATATTTTGATTATTAGTGGCCATCTTAAAAATTCCATCTGAGCAGATATCCTGTTTCCCTGGGCATCAACATTTAAAATGTGAACCATATCCATCAATTAGCTAGAGTTAAAAACTGACCAAAATTCTTAAACTAGTGCAATATACTAACAAAAGATACTGTGAGAAGATTAAGGATTATACAGGTGCCAATAGGATGTGGATTAGCGACAATAACCAAAATATGTTAGATAACATTAAAAGTGTAAATTTAAGGAATGGGGCAAGGAACATAGCCTCGTATGATTTCTCTACACTATACACAAAGATTAATCTAACTGACATAAAGGAAAAACTGAAATGGGTAATAGATAAGCCTTCAGAGGAGGAACTAACCAAAAGATAACAGTAGGCGGATATGAAGCCAAATGGGGTGGAAAGGCGGATAATAAAAAGGGATATACCAAAGGAGAATGCAATGATCTAGTGGATTTCATCGTGGATACAGCCTACTTTAAAGCAGGGAAACCAATTCTAATACAGAAGATTGGAATACCAATTGGATTCGATCCGGCGCCATATACGGCAAACCTATACTTATACAGTTACGAATTTCAAGCCATTGAGAAAATGTATAGGGAAGACTACTCCAAGAATACTACACGTTACTAATCACGTGGGGGCCAATTTAATTGATCAGTTAGTTTTATTTCGTTATCTATGACCATTAGCAGTTATCTAACATTTATCGCAAGAACTCTACGTTGGGCTTAGAATGGAGAAAACCGCATTTTTGTATCTGCAAGTTGAGAAAAGCTATTTCAGTTGTCCTTTAAGGAAATAAAAGTTCCGAAATTTATCGGAATATGAGAAGGTAGGTCCGAAATTCCGTTTCCGAAGGCAAAATCGGATGGTTCGGACAATAATTCCGTTCCGTGCCAGCCCTATGTGATACATGTGTGTCCACATAATATAATACTATAATAGTAATAATATAAATGTTTCACATCATTGAGACTGTATTACCTTCACACTCAGCAACAAGTGTTGCTAACTGCGCTTTGTCTGTTTCAAGCCGTTGCCTTAGGAACACAAGTCCTTCCAGCCTTTGTCCTGTTGTCTCATGACAGCCATCCTGCCCTTCCAAAAAATGCAGTAGTTCCTGAAATGATACATAAACAGTGCCTATTTATTTTATTGTATGGAGATTTAACTTTACATTGCTTTTATAAAAATAACTTTACACTGGAATCATATGTTACACTCCCTGCATTCATGTGGATCAAATCCGTGTACGCCAATATAGACACGGCTGATGAGTTTAATCAGAAACTTATGTGGGCAATTATGAAGCGGAGGTGTATACGCCCGGGGGGTTCATTCCAATATACTTCTTAATACCTATGTGCCGCCCCAAAGACCCCCTTTTGAGCATTTCTTCCATGTCAATTTCCTCTCAAAATTGAAGGTTTCCATGTTTAATTCCCCTGAGACTTATAATTGACTAAAAAATCAACTTTTCCAGTGATTTATTTCAGGTTTCAGCAACTGATTAGACAAATTTAATACAATTTTTTGTAGAAAAACTGAATTTTGACTTAAAAAGGGTACTTTTCTAGAAAATTTTCCATGTTTTTTTCCTCTCAGATTGGCCAATCCATGTTTTATGGTCAAAGCCAAAATTGGGCGTGCTACACATACCTACCCAAATTATTTGGAGTGAGCCCCCGGGTGTATACCTGTCCCTGTGTGCGAAGAACTCAAGGTTGATGAAATTCTCACTCGTAAGCCACAAGAAATCGTGAACTGTTTAAAGATTACTCCGAATTGTTATTAACTGAACTGAACGATCCAGAATTCAATGATGATTTTAAGCAAGAGATCTCTGATGAAGTAAGATCTTTTTTACAAATCCTGCTTGTTAAGGAAGACCCTTTTTTTTTTAATTAAAATTTATTCACATACAACTCAACATTTCAAAATACAATATTTCATAAAAAATATTTTTAAACACATTTTCTCAATCATCAATGTTTCTTACATATTTTTCATATTCAAACATTACAGATATATTTTTTCTTTCATTTGAAAACTTAAAGTCATGTATAGTTTTCTTTATTACAAGTGTCTTATATAGTATTTTTTTTATCTAATATTCCTATTCCTAATTTCTCATTTTCATTCAAATCTACATCTTTCCAAATATTTTTTATAGCATTACAATGTATAAAAAAATGTTCAATATTATCAATTTCATTACATAGTTTACATAAATCAGATTGTTCTATGTTATATTTTTTTAATAAACCGCCATGTGGATATATACAATGGAAGATTTTCCATTGGATACTTAAAATACCAGTGTCTGACGTGCATTTAAAAAGTTGATTCCAAATATCTGAACCAATACTTAAACCCTTAAATTGCACATCACACTGCCTTTCTTTGACAAGCTTATTCCTGGTTTTCTGTGATGTCAATTTTTGAATTTCTATCCCTCGAAATACCAGTGTTTTGCTGGGCTTTGTATTACCATACATATGAATTCTCTCTTGATTTAAACAAGCTCTTAAAATGTTATATTGCATTACAGTTTCAGCATTTTTTCCTATTAATTCAGCAATAACCTCATATGGTTTTAAATGTTCATTTACAACGACATCTGATATATAGATTAACCCTTTTTCTATCCACTTGTGAAAGTACAAGGGATGTCTGCTCAATACAATATTTCTGTTGTTCCATATTATAGATTCATCTGCATAATTACTTTTGTTAAGCCATGTACATAATAATTTTTTATAGAAAATACTTAAATGATCAATGCCTTTCAACTGATCAACACTTATATTGCTGTTGAAAACACTAAACTTTTTACCTAATTTTCCGTACATATACTCTGGTATAGCTCTCCAGTGGCCATTACCATTCTCTGTTAATCTTTTGATCCATTGAAACATATATGCAATTTGTAAGTCTTTACAGTTAATCATCTTCAAACCACCACAATCATAATCTTGTACTAAAATATCCCTTTTTACTTTATCGGGCACCTTTTTAAGGTCCTCTTCTTTAAATTTTCCTTTTGCCCATATAAACTTGAACATCATGGTATTTATTCTATTTAGCAATTTATCTGGCAAAATAAATGATTGCAATAAATATGAAAATTGAGATGGCAAAAGTGATTTAACAATAATAATTTTTCCCATAACAGTTAAATTTCTGCCATGCCATGATTTCATGATATTTTCACACTTAACAAATTTTGGTTCAAAATTAACATAATTTTCAACAACACTTGTTGAAGGACTAAAGGTAATTCCTAAAATCTGTATACAATTTTCTGGATATATTTTCCATTTAATTTCACCAATATGGTCTTTCCGATTTTTCCATTTACCTAACCACATAGCTTCGTTTTTTTTAACATTTAATTTTAAACTTGATACATCATAAAAAGCTTTAAAAACACTCATTGTATTATGAAAAGATACTTCATCATGTAAAAATAAGGAGGTATCATCTGCAAATTGCAGTATTTTTGTTTGATCAATACAATCTTGAATTTTTATACCTTTGATATTTTTTTCTTGTCGAACCTTACAAGACAGTAGTTCACAAGCTACTATAAATGTCAGCGGAGACAGTGGGCAGCCCTGCCGAATTTAAGACCCAGGAAGACCCAATACCAGGCGCGTCAATTTCAACATATGAAGTAAAGACTGTTATAAAAAGCTTAAAACCAAGAAAGCTGGTGGTGTTGACAAACGAACATCTCTTTTATGGTGGAGAAGTTCTGCCCCAGGTACTAGCCTTTTTGTTTAATCTGATTTCTGAAACGTCTACTCCAGCAGTTTTTAAAGATGGCGTTATTTCTAAATTATTCAAAGGGGGTGGAAAACGTCGTTCTCATGTTGAAAATTATAGGGATATAACTTTACTCCCTGTTATTGAAAATTAGAATCCAAAAGTTCGAACTACGTAAATATGATGTGATATAAACACTAGATGAGTCCTGATCACTGTGTTACATGGTTACCGACACATTATGTAATTCTGGGTGTTTGACTGAGTGGTTCACGACTCATATAAAAGGCTGTGGTGTGTACCTGTATGTCTGTGTACCTGTGCACATAAAAGAAAACAGGGCTCCTCCAAGGAGGGGTTTCTGGCTCTATCTTCGAGTGTAAAATACATAAAATACGGAATATACCAATGAGGAATTGCTCGCCAAATATGGCGGTAACCAAGATATAATAATAATAACTAGACTTTGGAAATTGAACGAAGTTCAATTTCAGACTCCAGATCTAGACCTTTTTTAGCCGAGTCATCCAGAATAAGCTGAGTCATCCAGAAAAAGATGGATGGATAAAATAGGAAGGTAGGATAGGATAGAATAGAAAGGAACGATAGGATAAAATAAGAAAGAAGGATAGGATAGAACAGAATAGTTAGAAAGGATATGATAGGAGAGGATAGGAAGGATAGGAAGGAAAAGATACGAAGGAAGGATAGATAGGAAAGATAGGATATGATAGGATAAGATCAGATAGGAAGGATGGATGAATTTTTCAATATTTTCTTCTCTACTCTTGACTTTCTATCAGGATATATTAAAACGCCATAACTTCCGAACCGGAAGTCGGATCGAAATTTGGTTTGCAGATTCGGATTTCTGAGACAATTCTACCCTTGATTCATAACTCATATGTTAAATTTGGATAACTTTTTATTTTGACCTACTTTCCGGACACCATATCTCAAAAGTGGGTCAAAATACTCTCTGACGGCAAAAGGCTTACACTATAAGCACACTCTTGGCTACATGTATACACAATTTCGAAGAATATAATTAAAGTGTAGTGTCAGAATCGCAAAAATAAGGAAAACCTTTGGATTTGACCTAGATTTTGACCTAGGAATTTTGGTGTCAAAATTTTGAAGCTAGATGGCTTTTGAGGTCCCCTTCTTTTAAAAGCTTTCATTAAATTAAGCTGAACTCAGTCTATATTTCGTATTTCTCACTTCAAAAAAATCTTTTTTCCCATTGACTTAACATGGACACCTAATTTAGCGATTTTTGAGCTTTCAAAATGCCATAACTTCCGAACCGGAAGTCTGATCCAAATTTGGTTTGCAGATTCGGACTCCTGATATCATTCTACACTTATTTGATAACTCACATGTTGAATTTGGAGAACATTTTGTTCTGACCTACTTTCCGGATGCCATATCTCAAAATCGGTAACAGTAATCAAAAAGCTGATGGCACACTTATGAAAGGGCTGTTTCTAAGCTACATGATGAAAAAAAGACAAAGTTGTTTCGATAAATAACGACCGAGATAATAGACGGAAGGTTGAAAATGTAAGATTTGACCTAGTTCTTGACCTTTGACCTAGATAAAAAATTGACCCAATTTCCGAGAAACTAGATACTGGACCTAAATTGACCATATACAGGTCTTGACTCAATGTCTTCTGACTACTGAGAAAACGTGTAGAGAATAATAACTAGATTTTGGAAATTGAACGAAGTTCAATTTCAGACTCCAGATCTAGACTTTTTTTAGCCGAGTCATCCAGAATAAGCCGAGTCATCCAGAATAAGCTGAGTCATCTAGAAAGAGATGGATAAATAAAATAGGAAGGTAGGATAGGATAGAATAGGAAAGAACGATAGGATAGAATAAGAAAGAAGGATAGGATAGAATAGAATAGGAAGAAAGGATAGGATAGGAAGGAAAAGATATGAAGGAAGGATAGATAGGAAGGATAGGGTAGGATGAGATAGGAAGGATGGATGAATTTTTCAATATTTTCTTCTCTACTCTTGACTTTCTATCAGGATACCATCAGATCGATTTTTCTTGAAATTTTAAAACGCTATCACTTCCGAACCGGAAGTCGGATCGAAATTTGGTTTGCAGATTCGGATTCCTGACAAAATTCTACCCCTAATTCATAACTCATACGTTAAATTTGGAGATTTTTTATTTTGACCTACTTTTCGGACACGCCATAACTTCCGAACCGGAAGTTGGATCGAAATTTGGTTTGCAGATTCGGATTCCTGACAGAATTCTACCCTTAATTCATAACTCATATATTCAATTTGGAGAACATTTTATTTTGACCTACTTTTCGGACACCATAT